CGAGCCTGGCGTGTCCTGCGCGCCGGGCGGCTGCGCGGCGTCTCCCACTCTGCATTCCTGTCTCTGCAGCGCAGCGCGCAACCCGGCTCAGGGCAGCCGGTGTGGGTCACGCCCCTACCCACGTTTCCCAGTGGGTTTTCACGCAGGCCTTCCGCAGACAGTAGGCACTTGGGCTTCCTTATTTGCGGCTCAGGCTGACTGATGCGCCGGGAAATGACTTGACCGAGGTCCTACGGCTCATCAGGAACTGCGGGAGGATTTGACCCTTGTCTGCAAAACCGCACAGCCCGCACCCGGCCTCTGCACCGCGCTGTTCGCGTGCCTCCCGTCCTCCCCATGACCTGTTTGAATTTGGCAGATGTGGATTTTGGAGGCAGCACGCACACCCTTTCATGGGTGTTAGTGTCAGACTGTCTCGTGAGAAGAAGAAAGAAGTTCTGTTGATTGAAATAGTGCTGCTTATGAGTGTTTATACATCCTTAACGCGACCCTCTCCCTTAGCCTCTGTGGGAATGGCGCCGCTGTTGGCTGCCTGAAAGACATTGCAATACAAGTAGCAACCTTTCAGGGCTTCGTTTCCTTCGGAACAGCATGGTGCCTCAGAGGGTTCAAAGAAATAATCCACGGACAGTGGTACCACAATACCTGGCATATGAGAAAAGTTCAATACATGTTGGCCATTATTGTATGGCCACGTGCGTAATACCCCTTGCTAAATTCATTTTTCTTCAAAGACTAACTTTTTTTCCGGAGACTAAAGCAGAGGGAGAATTAGTCTACCCTGGCCCACCCCCCAAAAAGACATTGACTAGTATTTGTCTATTACATTTGTGTTTACTGAGTTCTTTCCGTGTGCTTGGTACTTTTAAAGCATACCAATTTGTATTGGGTGTAGTTCCTGCTTTTATTTCGTCTAAAAATTGGGGGAAATATGCATGCAGAAATAGTCCTCACAAATTAGAATGTGAAAAACGCCAGAAAAGAGGTAAAAACTATGAGAGTATAGAAGAAGGTGGGATGTGGGTTTTTTTTGTTTTTGTTACTTTTACTCCACAGTGACTTTTTAAAAAAATATTATTTTACTGATTTTAGAGAGAGAGGAACGGAGGAAGAGAGAGAGAGAAACATTGCTGAGTGAGATGAGCAAGAAACGTCATTAGGCTGCCTCCTGCACCCCCAATTCTGGGGATGGAGCCTGAAACCTGGGCATGTGCCCTGACGGAATCTAACTGGTGACCTCTTGGTGCATGGGTCAATGCTCAACCAGTGAGCTACACTGTCTGAGCTATTTTCTTGCTTTAATGTGAAATATGATTTCATTTCTGCCTTTAGGAAGAAACTGTGTACATTGGACATACCTATTGAATATTTATTCAAAGAGTAAATTACTGAACAAATGTATGTTCTAATAGATAGGATTCCTTGGTTTCTAGCAACAGAACTCATTCAAATTTAAGTATTGGAAAGATAGAGAAATAAGAAAACAAACAAACAACTATGCCCTAACCGGTTTGGCTCAGTGGATAGAGCGTCGGCCTGCCGACTCAAGGGTCCCAGGTTTGATTCCAGTCAAGGGCATGTACCTTGGTTGCGGGCACATACCCAGTGGGGAGTGTGCAGGAGGCAGCTGATCGATGTTTCTCTCTCATCGATGTTTCTAACTCTCTATCCCTCTCCCTTCCTCTCTGTAAAATATCAACAATATATATTAAAAAAATAAATAAGAAAAAAAACAAAAACCTAAAATAGTTGGGCCACCTTTGGAGATGGGGATCTCAACAGCCAGAGCTCATGGACCAAATATTTGATTAATGAATGTTTGAGCTCCAACTGCCTTCTGTCCTTGTATGTCTTAGATTCAGATTTTTCTAAGAAGAGATCTGGTTGCTTTAGCTATTGTGAGGGTAGAGAATGACGTATTTCAATTGGCAACCCCACTGAACCATATGAAATGTCTGAGAGTCAGTTTCCCAAAGGAAGGGGGCTAAGGAGAGGAGAAAACCAATAGTTGTCTATTAGAACTATGTAGCTTTTGTAGAGGGCTTACTATGGGCTGGGCACCATGGTACATAATTTACATGGATTTTGATAGTTAATCCTTACAACACCTCTAGGAGGTAGAAACTATTATAATCGTACCCATTTTATTGAAGGGGAAACAGGATTATAGAGATAAAATATTTGCTTAATGTTACAGAACTTGGATGTAGTAGAGTTGAGTACATCGCATTATTTTCTCTTTATCTTGTCCCTTTGAATTATTTCCTGATCCATGTGCAACTTTGTTTGTTCATAGGGGGTCATCAAACTTTGGTGTGTGTTGGCCAGTTCCGAAATCTCCTTGAAGGGGCACTGCATTGAGGAAGATCAAAGCAGCAGTCTTTGCCAATTAAGGAATGGACCGTTTGGGTTCCTTTAGCAGTAAGTACTGTGTGAACAAGTCTCAGGTGAATATTAATAGCAAACTGAAGTAGGAGTTGATCAAAGAGGAAAAATAAGCACTTTGAAGTTAAAGCCCCTGTGAATCTGATCCTAAAGGAATAAGAGTATCAACTCAAAGTAAAATCAATTAATATTTATTGATTGCCCACTGAACATATAACACAAACATATCACCCTAGATCTTATAAGAAAACTAAGATCAAATGGACCAAACATAGTATGTTTAACCTGCAGATGGATTTATTTTATTTTATTTACTTTATTTTATCTTTGTTTTATTTATTTTTTTATTTTTATTTTTTACTGATTTCAGAGAGGAAGGAAGAGGGAGAGAGAGATAGAGACATCAATGATGAAAGAGAATCATTGATTGGCTGCTTCCTGCATGCCCCCTACTGGGGACCGAACTTACAACCTGGGCATGTGCCCTGACCAGGAATCCAACCATGATCTCATGGTTCATAGGTTGATGCTCAACCGCTGAGCCACACCGATTGGGCTGGATGGATTTCTTTAAAAAGCAGATGGATTCCCAGTAACATATTTGTGATGCCTTGATAAGAAATAATGTTTGGTAGAAAAAAGGAAATACCCTTCTCCCTGCAACCCGGCATGTGCCCTTGACTGTGACTATTCAGTGCATGGGACAGTGCCCAACCAACAGCCACACTGGCCAGGGCCCTTCTCAAGTTTTAAAAGTTCTTTGTAATATTAGGGATTTTAGCCCTTTATGATATGTTTGCAGATACTTTCAATTTATTAGCTTTTTTACTTTGCTTCTGGTGTTTTTTGCCAAGAAAGAGTTTTTTGTTTGTTGGCTTTGTTTATGCACTCAAATTTATTAACCTTTTACTCCCTTGGATTTTGAATGACGATAAAAAAGCCTTTCTCTACTCATAAGTTATAGAAAAGTTTTCTATTCCTAGTTTATAAAAAAAATGTACCTTTTTGAAGGACACTTTGACTATATATATCAAAAATACTCTGTATACCAGTTTTAATTCTAGGAAAATACATATCCTAAGGAACAAAATGTGAAAAGTTATATATACAAGAACATTAATCTCAGCATTCTTTATAATAGTAAAAAGTTGGAAACGATTATTATAAATGTCCACCAATAGGGAACTGTGTAAATTAGTTGTTCTCAACCTTATGAGACCCAGTGATATTTTTTTAAAAATATATTTTATTGATTTTTTACAGAGAGGAAGGGAGAGGGATAGAGAGTTAGAAACATCCATGAGAGAGAAACATCGATCAGCTGCCCCCTGCACACTCCCCACTGGGTATGTGCCCGCAACCAAGGTACATGCCCTTGACCGGAATCGAACCCGGGACTCTTCAGTCCACAGGCTGACGCTCTAGCCACTGAGCCAAACTGGTCAGGGCCCCAGTGATATTTTTTAAATAATATTTTTAAAACCCCTTTTACTATTTGGAAATTAAATACATAGATAACATATCTACAACCATGATATCAAAGAAATAAAAACAATAATGCCCTAACTATAACAAAGGCTAAATAAAAGAGAAGTAATTAATAATGAAATAATGGAATTTATAATAAAATAATATGCATTGCAATATGTTTAGACATGATTACAGTAGAAGACAAAATGACTTAAGTAGATGCTTGCACGCATATATTGAATCACAGCATCTTACAACTACACATGCACAATGAATGATTCATGTGTGATGTGTTGGTGACTCAAATACCACAAGCTTGAATAACTCTTGGTAAAGTTCTGAACAAAACAAGATAAAATCTCTGGAGGTACATGCAATTGCTTTTCTGGAAAATTCAATATATATTAAAGCTCAAAAAATTTTGTTTTATGTAATATGGAACTGGGTTCTTGGTCATGTAATTTTGAATAGGTTTTTTTATCTACTTGAATATCTGATGGGACATTTGAAAGTTGTGCAGATACAGGCCAACTCTTTGTTGTGGAGAAATGTCTTGGGCATCTCTGGTTCCTGCCAGCTAAGTGCCAGTAATGTTCCCTAGTCCTTGTGACAACAAAAAAGCATCTCAGATTTCCAAAATGCTTTCCTAGAGGGTAGTTGAAAACCATTAGGTTAGATAATTGATATGATGGAGCATTATTCATCCATTAAAAAGAATGAGGAAGCCCTGGCCAGTGTTGGATGAACATCATCCCATGCTTCAAGAGGTCAGTGGTTCAATTCCTGGTCAGGGCACATGCCTGGGTTTTGGGCTCAATCTCCAGTAGGTGGTGTATAGGAGGCAGTCGATTGATATTTCTCTCCTCCTTTTCTCTTTTTCTCAAATCAATAAAAACATATTTAAAAAATAATAATGAGGAAGATCTATGTGTATGGTCATGAAAGATTTTGACAATATGTTGTCAAGTGAAAAAAAAACCAGGCTACAAAACATCATGGATAGTATCCTGCTTTTGTTAAAATAAATACACAGAAGAAATGTTTGAAATCAAAATGTTAATAGAGAATGCTATACTTTTATTGTCTAAAATTTTTAAAACTATATAGAGGATAGCTTTTACAGAATAATTACTTCTTGACATAAGGGTTTTAAAGCTCTTTGATCGGTGGCTGATTTTTGTTGTTGTTAGTCCTCACCTGAGAATATTTTTTCCATTGATTTTTAGAGAAAGTAGAAGGGAGAGGTGGGGGTGGAGAGAGAGACTGGAAATCCAACCTGCGACAGTCTGTGGGCAGATGCTCTAACCACTGAGAAACACTGTCCAGGGCCTGATTTTTTTGCCCTGAGGAATGTTTGAGGGAAGAAAAATAAGCTCATATCATTATTATAAAAGGATGATATGAAGAAGATAATTTGGTAAAAATTGGCATCTAGCACTTAACATAAAACAATATTTGGTCTTCTTGTGTCAAAATTTTAAATGGGAAAAGTGAGGTAGTTGCTGTTCTTTATATTTATTTTGAAGCTATTGCCAGAAGGATTACATTTCTTTCCCCTGTCATTTTCCTCCTGGTCTTCATTTAGAAACAGAAAAGAACAACAATCACCACTTGCCAGAGGGAAAGGTGCCTTGAAGAGTTCCTCAGATTTTAGGAAGGAAAATGCAGTTACAGAATGTGAGAAATCCTGCCTCAGGCCAAACAGATTAAATCTCTTCATCTGCCTTCAAAGTTTTCTTAGACACCTGCTGCTGATCACAGAGAACTACTCTGCTAGGATGCCCTGACTCGAGAGAGGCAGAGTTTAGGGCACCTGGGGACACATACCTGCATTTTTATAACAGAGTTTGGTTTGTACTCTTTGCCTTAATATTTCAGAGACGTTGGAACTGGTGGAAGGTCTGCTATGTTCTCTGCATACTATAGGAGAAAAGGAGGGAGCTTTTCTGGATTTAAATCTGAAATATAAAGTACAGTGGGGCCTTGACTTATGAGTGTCCTGACTAACGAGTTTTTCAAGATACGAGCCGTCTCTCGGCCGATTTTTTGCTTTGAGTTGTGAGCTAAAATTCGGGTTATGAGCCAGATTCAGATACCCCACCGCTAGTTGGCGCAGCGAACGTCACAGTGAACGCCACAACATCAGCCCAGCATCATGTGTCTCACTTGTTCACTTTAAGATTTGACATACGAGTAATTTGGGTTACAAGCTCCATCACGGAACGAATTAAACTCGTAAGTCAAGGCCCCACTGTACTATATATCCCAAGACATATTTAAAGGAGTTTTTCCCCCAACTTTTTATTCTGAAAAATTTCACACTTACAGAAAAGTTGAAAAAATAGTACTGTGATTACTTGTTGCCCACTACCTAGATTCAGCAATCATTAACATTTTGTCATATTTGCTTTATCTGTAAATAATATGTGTGTTGTGGAGATATGTGACATTTTTCCCCTGAAAAAAATGTTATAGGTATTATTAAACTTCCAGTTAAAACCTGTGTTTGTACATTTCTTTGTAGGGGCCGTATCTACTTAGATGCTGTTTAAAGTAGTAGGTACTCTGTAGGGAGGGACAAAGCTACCTTGAAATAAAAAGGAACATAATTTCTGTTTTTTCTTATTTGAAATGAACTCTTCTTGTCTCCATGAACTTTCACTACCAGTATAGTCATTTGCAGATTTTCACCCTCTTGGCTCTTAAGATAATCAGAAGGTGTTTTGAAGCTAGTATATTTTTCTTTTTCTTCTAGGTGATCCCTCTGATAAGCCACCTTGCCGAGGCTGCTCCTCCTACCTCATGGAGCCTTATATCAAGTGTGCAGAATGTGGGCCACCTCCTTTTTTCCTCTGCTTACAGGTATCTCATTTAGGAGAGGCCTGCCTCTCCTAGGTTTTTTTATGGATGTAATAAATTCAGAGATGACTATCGATTGCTCAGAAGGCCCATATCTTATTAAATCTGTTCCAGTCAATCTTCCAGTATACATTTTACCAGTGAAAAGTTGGGGAACAGAGCAGATGGATGAGATAGACTGTTGAATACAGACATATCTCAGAGCTATTGCAGGTTTGGTTCTAGACCCCGTAATAAAGTGAGTTTCACAATAAAGCAAGTCGTAATCTTTTTGCTAGTAGAGGGTCTTGACTTCAATTTATAAAAAAAATACAACATTGTGAAGTGCAATAATATGAAACACAGTAAAACGAGGTGTGCCCATATTGCACAGAGGTATCAACTTAATGCTTAACACTGTTTTAGCCAGTAGTGTTAAGTATTGAGATTACAGGAACAGAATAGGAGGGTTATTCCTTTTGATAGTACCTATGACACAATGTTTATTGTTTATTGAAGAGTGATCTTTGGGCAGGTGACAAACAAGGTAACAAACCATTTTGTGGATGATGGTGGAAATAGTAATACTAATTATAAGCACTTACTCTATGCTTGGCACTATTTTAAGTACTACTAGTATACATGATTTAACTCTTAAATCATCACTACAACCCAGTAAAGTAAATATGATTAGTATCCCCATTCTATAGAAGAAACTCAAGCAAGGAGAAGGTTAAGTAATTTGCTCAAGGTCACACAACAAATACCATATTTTTTTTTGATCCAAGACACTATCTACACTAATAAAAGAGAAACATGGTAATTGGCGTACGACCGCTACCCTTTTCATTGGCTAATCAGTGAGTATATGCAAATTAACTGTCAGCCAAGATGGCAGCCAGCAGCCAGGCACTGAAGCGAGCAGGGAGGCTTGCTTGCTGCAGACTCCAACGTTCACCGCCTCACTTGCCGGCCTCTCAGTTGCAACTCTAAGCAACTATATACTATGTTGCAAATAAGAAGCTAAACAAAACCCCAGAAAAGGGCTTCCATTCAGCCGGGCTCGGACCGCAACATTGTATCTATGTTTTCAGCAGCGAGGCCTCAGAGCTAAAGCTGGCCCAGAAAAAAAAAAAAAAAAAGAGAAGAAAACAAGGAGCGGTTGGAAGCTTTAGTCACTCGCCAGCCGGAAAACAGCCCTCAGCCCCTCACCCAGACTGGCCAGGCACCCCAGTGGGGACCCCCACCCTGATCCAGGACACCCTTCAGGGCAAACCAGCCAGCCCCTACCCATGCACCAGGCCTCTATCCTATATAGTAAAAGGGTAATATGCCTCCCAGCACCGGGATCAGCGGAGCAGCGAGGCTCCCGGCACCGGGATCAGCATGACAGGGGACAGCGCCCAAACCCCCTGATCGCC